GCTAGACATAGGTGAACCTAGCGCTACTAGGATGAGCATTCAGTTGGCTGATCGCTCTATTGTGCATCTTAGGGGTATCATAGAGGATCTGCTTGTTAAAGTAGGTGCATTCACATATCCTGTTGATTTTGTTATTCTGGATATAAATGAGGATGTGGATGTGCCTTTGATTTTGGGTAGACCATTTCTCACCACCGCCAAGGCACTTATTGATGTGCTTAGTGGTAAATTGATCTTGCGTGCTGGGAATGAGCAAGTTACTTTTTCTGTGACTGAGGATGGGGAACACTCCCATTTGCCTGATGAATTAGATCACTGTGATATGTCTGCTGTCACACCTATGCATGCTATTTCTCACCAGGTGCACGAGCCTATCGTGTATCCTTCTGTGCCTCTCGTTTTGCAGGAACCCCCTCTCACTCCTTTGCCGCCACTCCCTTCAACTTCACCGCCAAACAAAAAGATCAAGGAGGAGTGGTGGCCGAAGCCGCAGGTGGCTAAGCCTGCTCGGAAGAAAGGTGGCGACCACTATGAGTTGGTTCCACCTCCTGAACCACGACCACCATGGCCATCCGAGTACTCACTCGCTTTCATCCTGCCGGATGGCCAGGTCGAGCTGACAAATGCTGGTGGTCGCACCAGTCGGGTGCATGGCCACAATCTGAAGCTGTACCTCAAGAGCGATGTGGATCCGCTCTTGGAGGCACCTGTTCCTGCACCCCTTTGAGTATCCACCATGGGCGTCCAGCTAAAAGGCGATAAAGAAGCGCTTGTGGGGAGGCAACCCCACCACGGTTTTCATTTCTTTTTCCCTTTTTTCTGTGTTTTTGTGTCGTGTTGAGTCAGTTGCATGTCTGTGTTGAAGTTCGGTCGTCTATTTTGCCTCGGTTTGGTGTTTTTGTGCATGAGATGTCGAAAAATTGAGAGAATGTGATTTTTGGCCGAAAGGGGAAAATACCCGCCCGTGGCCAAAAATACCCGACTGGGTATTTTGGCATCTTGGTCGGGACCCCTTCTGCCTTCTAGGGCGCCAAAACGGCAGATCCCCGACCTTGACCCAAAATTACCCGACCGGGTATTTTTGGCTCAAGGCCGGGGATTTCCCAACCTTGGAACGCAGCATTTTCAAAACCCCCGACCTTGACCTAAAAATACCCTCTCTCTTCATCTCATTTCCTCTCCCCTCTCTCCTCTTTGAGCGCCGCCGGCATCCATCCCTCCGTCGCTGCACCTCCGCCGCTTCCGCAGCCGCCGGGCCATCCTCTGCCGCCGCCCTCCGCCACCAGTCGTTTTTTCCGGCGACCGTCCGGCGATTTTACAGCAATTTTCCGGCGAGTTTCCCGGATTGTTTTGGGCGTAGTTTTGGGTCCCTCACCCTCTCTTCGCGTCTCGTCTATAGTTCTACTTGAGGTTCCATATGTGTTTCTTGTTAGCTATTCTTTGTCTGGAAAATCGAACTGTAGATTTTAGGACCGACAACTGTGTTTTGCCTGGCATGCTTGAATTAGAATAGGGTGAGGGATGCCGTGAGTATGAATGGCTATGGCCAATGTGTGTGTGCTGCCCGTTTGATTGAATTGGTTGGTTATGTTTGATTCTTGCCTTGATTGCAGTTGAGTTGCTTGCGATTCAACCGTTTGTGCTTAAACTGTTAGCCTAGGTGGTCCTTAAGTGTGGGGGAAGTGATGAACCCCATACTGTTGGTCCTAACGAGTTTTTCTTGGCTCCTCCTTTGGTTCGTTGATTTTGCAGGATCATGTCACTCGATCACCCGTTCGTGCAGGACCTGCGCCTGCACCAGGATTACGCCGACCAGGCCTGCAAGGTTACCCACGGAGTACTCTAGCGTCATAACCATCTGGAGTGGGGAGTCTCGAGCAGCTCCACTGCTTGGATGAGATCTCCATCGCCAATCAGCCACCGTGATTGGCGGACGTTGCTGACCATTGACGAAGCCGACCTACACAGAGCTGGTGAGGGAGTTCTACACCACCTACCAGTACCGCTCCAAAGCGGCTCGAGACTCCCTCACGGTCACCTTCAGGCTAGATGGCAGGTCATGGCAGCTGGACCATTGATGGGTTTGCCTACAACCATGGGGGATCCATTACCACCCCTACTCGCACCACAAGGTAGAGATCCCGCACCCGACGGAATGGAACCAGGACGGGTTTCTACCGCCAGATAGCTCGGGGCGACTACAGGGCGGACTACTTCGACGCCGGCCAGACATCCGTCCCGCACTCTTAGGCCGCAGTGGCACATCCTCAATCTGCTGATCCCCCGCTCCATCGTCCCCAATGCCACTAGGTCGCACAACATCCCAAGCGGGTGCTGTATGCCATGTATTCGATGGGGTACCCGGAGCACATGCTGCACTTGGGTTCTTTCGTGGCTACCACCTTCTCTCGATGCCACGGGAAACCCAACCATCTCTTATGTGGTCCACTGATCACCCGACTGGCGCGCCACTTCGATATTGACCTGGAGGGACTCACGGATGCCTCAGCATGGGGCGGCTCCACCCCTCTCAGCCGGGACGTGCTTCACAATGCACTCCTCCTGACCTCTAATGGCACCGCTCCTGGGTGGATGGGTTGTCCTTGCCCCCTGAGGAGGATGCGGATCTTGATGGGATGAGGAGGACGACGACTACTCCGGCGAGGAAGAGGCCGATGATGATGAAAATGATGGCGGGGCCATGGATGCTGATGAGCAGGAGCCCCCGCTCTACCCACCAGGGGACCTTCAGCCATGACGGAGATCCGAGAGAGGCGAGTCCTCCTCCGGTCCTTCCGGTCCGTCGATGGCTTCTGGCCCGTCGATGGACTTCTTCACGGAGCGGTTTCTAGCAGATGGGGCTCCAGTTCCAGCAGCTCGGGCTTCAGAACCATCAGCTCATGGACCATCAGGTCTAGTTCTAAGCAGTATTCGGCCCACCAGGCCGAGTACCAGTCCCGGATGACGGTTGTGGACGAGCGCCTCGATCGGATGGAGGCTCAGATGGGAGTCACTCGTGCTCACATCGAGCGAGAGCGAGATCGTAGCCGCCGGATGATGGAGTATCGTTAATTGCACATATTTTTACCCTCATTCTTGAGCCGTTTGAGATGTTGATTCTCGTGCTTTAAGCCGATTTCACGCTAGGTTGTGTGTTTATGCCATATTTCAGGGCTTGGCGTTGGCATTGAGGTGCAGAAACGAGTTTCGGATCGAAAGGAGGACGTTTGAGTTGACGGGTGCTGGAGGAGCAAAATACCCGGCCATGAGCTATAATACCCGGGCGGGGTATAATTCTGAGGAGACAGGGGATTATTGCTTTTGGACGTTTGTGAAGCATAAGGGGGCCCGTTCGTGAAGCTTAAATCTCCGATCGGGTATTCTTGACCACGATCGTAGATTAATCCCCTGTCCTCAACGGTGCGTTTCAACAATCCCCGGCCGGTCACTAAAATGCCCGACCGGGGATCGCGATAGACAGCTTCTTAAGGGAAAAGAAGGTTAAAGTTGAAGGGTTCCTAGTTTTAGAGAGACAAAGCGTATACCTAGAGAGAGAAAGTGACGAACCTGATTCTTGAAGCACCTTAGTTCGATCTTCATCACCATTGGAGCCCGGCTTGAGCTTGGAGAAGAGCTGGTTGATTGCCAGAAGCAGAATCTCATCCTTCACAGTATGGTTTCCGCGTCTGAGCTAGATTTCCCGTCTCTTCTATGGAGTAACTTTCTCATTCACCTAGGTATGAAGAACCCTAGATTTGTATGTTAGGTCTGATTGCATGAACCCAAGTACGAATTCAGTGATATGATTATATTCAATTGAGGTTTGATTTCTTGAATGGCCTGAATCCTGATCAAATTCCTGTTATTTCTGCTTTGACCTAGAAAGAGAATATCTGCCTAGGTTGATTGAGTACCCTTGATTGAAGGTAGTGAATTGACGACTTTAGTCGAGGAGTCAATTCACTATTCTGTACCGATTTACTTCGGTAGAGGAGGTTTGGTTCATTAGGGCCTAAATCTGTTTACTCCGGTGGAGGTTAGTTGCCCGCTGGGGCTCAGATTGAGAGGGTCTGGAGACCTTTAGTCGAGATTGCAGACTGTTTAAGAACCTCCCGCAGTATAACTATCATTGAACTTGAACTTGGTAAATTGCAATCTGGCTTTACTACAGTCTAGGGGGAACCATATCCGGGTGACCTCTCTCAACTTAAAAACAACCTTTTAACTGCTTTGCTTGTTTGCTGGTTTGGACCTTCACTACACTTTCACTGCTAAATAATAAGAATTCACGGAGTAGTCATCATACTTAGGACCCGGGTTTACATTAAAACCCAAACCCCTATACTACGCTTTAGGAGGTGGTTACACTTGGCCATTTTCTAGAGTGACGGTAGAAGCGAGTCAATTATATTCAATTGAGGTCTGATTTGTTGAATGGCATGAATCCTTATCAAATAACTGTTGTTTCTGCATTCAACTAGAAAGAGAATATATTCCTAGGTTGATAGAGCACCCTTGATTGAAGGTAGTGAATTGACGACTTTAGTCGAGGCAATTCACTATTATGTTCCGGATTTACTTCGGTAGAGGAGGTTTGGTTCGTTAGGGCCTCAATCTGTTTACTCCGGTGGAGGTTAGTCGCCCGTTGGGGACTCAGATTGAGAGGGTCTGCAGACTGTTTTAGAATCTCCCGTTGTATAACTATCTTTGAATTCGAACTTGGTAAATTACAATCTGGCTTAACTGCAGTCTAGGGGGAACCATATCCGGGTGACCTCTCTCTACTTGAAAACAACATTTTACTGCTTTGCTTGTTTGTTTACTTGGACCTTCACTACATTTTCACTGCTAAATAATAAGAATTCGCAGAGTAGTCATCACACTTAGGACTCGGGTTGACATGAAAACCCAAACCCGCTATACTACGCACTAGTAGGTGGTTGCACTTGGCCATTTTCTAGTGTGACGGTAAAGGCGAGTTAGTTTCTGTTCAATACATAATGACTGAAGCTAACTTTGGTTGGTTAATACGATCAGTTCATCGATGTTCGGCAAGTATGATGGTCCTAATGATGATCCTACACGTATTTCGTGTGTATCTTACCGGCGGCTTTAAAAACCCTCGTGAATTGACTTGGATTACGGGTGTGGTTCTTGGTGTCTTGACTGCATCTTTTGGAGTAACTGGTTATTCCTTATCCTGGGACCAAATTGGTTATTGGGCAGTTAAAATTGTAACTAGTGTCCCATACCTTGAGTATGAAAACGCTATCTAAACCTCGAATTAGCAGGATTTTTGGGCATGATACTATACCCTAACCCTTAATGAGTGAACCCTAGGTCCTAATTATAAATCATAAACTATAAACCCTAAGATGGTGCATTGATTTTTTTTGCCTATATTTGGACGAATCACAACTGTCGATTATTGTTTCTAATTAAATTGATCTTTGGGTATAGATTTAGAGAATTAAGACCTAGATTTTGATCTTTAAGGGTTAAAGTATAGTATAATGTCTGAAAGATCAGTCAATTCAAATTCTGGATAGCATTTTCTTACTCAAGGTATGCGGTACCCGGATTTCAATATGTCATTATGAGTAAAAATATTTATTGGGCATCCTAGGATTCTATTATGAGCGAGTTAGATACGATTTACCTACTTATGTTGCACGTTGTGTGTAACCTTCTATTTTGTTTTCCCTTTGGTGTGTACATAGTGGAAATACTATTATGAGTCCTTGTGATACTATTTCGAGTAGTGTGGATATTATACCTTTGGATACGGTAATAGTAGTGCGGATACGTTTTTGGAGAAAATTGATACTGATATTAGATTAATTGTCATCAGTTAGCCTACTGAATGTTTGTTGTGGGGTTTGATTTCGACGAAAATTGGGTACTAATTTGGGCAGTTTGGATTCTGATGGTAATATAAATGTATGTGTGCACTAACATGTCATCCAAATATCTCGCAGCTTACAATACTTCGATGCTAGAAGACGATGAAGCAAGGAAGAACATATTTTTATCGCACTAAGAAAGAGTGTTCGGCGTTCTATAAACACTATGCTCACAAAAAAGGTTTGGTGTTCGAGAAGATGGGGAACACCTAAAAATTAATAATTCTAAAGGAGTGGTGGAGGAAAATTATGCATACCTTTATTACTTTTGTAATAAGGAAGGCTGGACTTCCACTATCGAAGTAAATACCGACAAACAGAGACAGTCGGAAGACAATGTTGTGGAGAGAAGGCGCCCTAAAAGAAAGAGGCCTCGAGTTAGGGATGGATGTAGCACCTGTGTTTGTTTTTTATGGGATGCTACTAGGACGAATTGTGATGTATGAGTTCGTAGGAGCCCACAATCACGATTTGCACTCTACCGAGCATACGCACTTTCACAAGTACAACTAGTGCATAAGTGATGCTCAGAGAAAGATGGTTGAAGCTAATCACAATGCCAGGATGAGTCTTAGTGCATCGTATCAGCTACTAGCTAATTGTGTCTGTGGGTATCAAAATCTGACTTTTACCATATCTGATTAGAAGAACCACTTCAACAGTAAATGGCAAAAGAAATGGCTCGTGGCGAAGCGACTTATTTGCTTAACTACTTTGAGGACCAAAAGGAGAAGCATCTCGACTTATTTTATGCCATAGAGGTAGATTGCAAGGAGAAAGTTGCTAATATTTTTTGGGCAGACAGTAATAGGATGAGCGAAGATTATGCTTTTTTTTTAGACTCGGTCTCCTTTTGTACGACCTTCTGAACCAACAAATACTTTCGTCCACTTGGTACGTGAATCACCTAATTCCCTTCAGTTTTTTGGACACTTGTTCAGTTATGCATTGTCATAACATGGATTTCTTGTGCAGGGATGTTTGTAGGTTTCAATCACACCGTCAAACTTGTGTGTTTGGTGCTTGTTTGTTGTATGACGAGACTACTCCTTCTTTTGAGTGGTTGTTTGTTGCATTTAGTCGATGCATGAAGAAGGAGTGGCCTAATGTGTTTCATGCGCTCTTTACTTGGCGCATCCTAATGAATGACAAGAAGCATCTTCTTCAGGACAAGACATCTTAGAAGAAGTTCCAAAATCATCTTTCTTTTATTTTCTACGACGTCGGCAATGAGGTAGAGTTCAACATCGCATGGAGCGTCATGGTTGCTGCGAATGTTTGCCTAATAGAGACATTGCGAAAGGCCACTCATGGTTGGAAATTTCAATAAATTTCGTCAAAGATGGTGTTCCTTATGTTTGAGAGATCTATCATCAGCCGAAATGTTGTCTACGCAAGCAAGCGAGTCGTGAAATACACAAGTGCGACTTTTCTTGAAATCGAAGCATGATTTGGACTTGTTTTTCATTCACTTTAGTAGGTAAGAAGCAGATATTACTTTGCCATTATTGGATATTATTGTGCCAGGTGTGGATATTGTTGTGTTTCACCTGTATATTCTTATGCATTGGTCAAATATTACTTTGTGTTGGTAGGATATTAGTGTTGTTTTAGTGGATATTATGAACTCTTTTTGTTTGCTTCCTAATTCTAGTTTGTTGGCTGAAAACATATGCAAAGAGACTGAGTTAGACTACAATGAGAAGCAAGTGGTTCCCTATATAATGTTGGAGCATAGCTCGATCCTCCAACATGCGGCAAAGATCTTTACTCCTAACATCTTTAATCGGATACATGAGCAGTATTTGCAAACTGAATCCTATCAAATGGAGACGGATTCAGATACTAGGGACGATGACATGATTGGCTACCTCACATATAGAATGGAGTATGGTGAGAATAATGATGAGCATGTCCTTCTCGTCGATATTTCTACGAGGACGCTAGTATCAGAATGCAGGATGTTTAGGACTTTCAGGGTGTTGCGGCCACATGATTAAGGTGATGCATTTGCTTGGAGATTTTGGGAATGCTAGTTTGAGAAGTATTCCAGAGCATTACATACTCAAGTGATGGACGTTGGAGGTGAGAAAGAAAGAGGTTGTTGATTGTTCAGTTGGTCCTTCCGCTGCCGCCAGTGAGAATGATGTGGAAAAGGTATAGCAATGTGGTACTGAGAAACCACTGCAATGTTGAATAAGCTAACAACAAACATGTCGATGGCCGGTAAGAAAGACTACAACAAGTGAATGGGAGCACTCAAGAAAGTGGGCAATGAGGCAAACAAGGCATTGTCAAAGACTATAACTAGCGAGGACAGTAAGTGTATTCACTAATATCATTTGTGCATTGTTAGAGTTTAATATCATTGCATGGAGTAATAAATTCTCTAACATTGTAGGACAGTATGTACCGATAAGTGTGTTGACTTTGACGGAGAAGAGTAATCCAAGGAGCCACGACAAGGAACATTATCAGTATGAGAATGAAAAAGAACATATTCGAAAGAAATGTTTTTATAAGAAGAGACTGAAATCAGTCGAAGTGCTCACGCTGGACAACGATACTCAACCGGATGACCAGCTTAGTGATTTGGAAGATGATATTGCGAAAATGGTTCAGTTATAGACGAATATTAGTTTATGTAGGATAATAGTTTATGTAATCGGATATTATTCTGGGTGGTATGGATATTTGTTTTTTATGATAAGATGTTATATATAATGGACGGATATTGGTATGTTCCTATCCGATATTATTGTGATATGTCAAGATATAACTCTACGACATTTGGATATTTATATTTTTTCAGTCTATATTAGCATGGGTTATCTTGATATTATTTTGTATCTTCCATGAAATGAACAAGTCATTCAACGTTGTTATAAATAGTATCCCCATGTAAACCACTAGTATCCAGTTTCACCAAGCCAGTATCTATGTTTAAACTAATGTTTACCAAACCCCAAAATAACTTAACTACCCCAAATTGATTATAATTTAGGATTTAGGGTTTAGGGTTTGGGGTTCAGGGCTTAGGGTTTTGGTTGGGCGTAGGGTTTAGGATTTAGGATTTTGAATTGACGTTAATGACAAGAGATATTTATATATGTTTGTTTTTGTGGATATTTATCTGAGTTATGTTGATATTAGTTTGTATCTTTGATGAAATAAATAAGCATAGAATATTGTTATAAATCGTATCCCTATGTAAATTAGTAGTATCAAGTTTCACTAGCCCAGTATCTGGTTATGTTTTCATATTTTTTCATATAGTACCAATGATAACTTCTTTCACTATTCGCATGTGACCCTTTTTGTGTCTATACTCAAGGGACATTTTGGTAACTATCTCCATGTGACACTTTGTCTATTTAAGAAAAAATCTCATACTTAGACAACATCTCATCTCCTCCTAATTTTCTTCTTCTCCTCCCAAGCAAAGTCCATGTCTGGAGACTCCTAAACATGCGCCCCCTGCGCCCTGGGTCATGGTGGATAAGTTAGAATATGATGGTTGTGTGCTTTGTTACCATGGTTGGAGAGCCAGTAAACGATTTGTTGTTGATGGATTCAACCAATCGAAAAAGTATTTCCAATGTCCAATGTACAAGGAAGACAATGATAAGGGTGTGGTTTTTACGTGGATTTCGCCGAAGCAACGTTCCCTGTGTTTTTTGAGTCGGGTGATGAAGATAACACCGAGGAGACTATTGTCAAAAGATGAACCAGTATTTCATGTCTTTATCTACTGTTGTGTTCACCTTTTGTCCATGTCTATCATTGGACATGTATCCAATTGAGAGTGTTATCCGATTAACCCAGACAAATGTCCAATGAATACTTCAGATAACTAATATCCAATCTACACCAAAAATATCCATTCTTAGTCAAACTAGCCATCATTATAAATTTAATGTTTACTTTTCCCCAAAATAACCCAATCACTTGAAACTAATTACATTAATATATGTCCAATTGTTGGGCTGGTAATTTTTCCTTCTTTTTACTTTCTCTTTCACCTTTTGTGTCGTTCACTCTTCTGCCCACAGAATTGTTTCCTCCTTGTTGAGGTTATAGTGCCATAGAAAGAGGGTGGTTGCAATCAATCCTCGTTGGTAGTCCACGTGCTCCTGCTTGTATCAACATACGAACACGCCGGAATCATTGTTTCCAACTTGTTAAGGAACATCCGCAATAGAAAAATCCCACTTATCCAAGGGAGCATCGATGTTTTGGCTCACTAGGAAGGTTGGCCCATAGTGGAATATTGTACTCCCTATTAGAGCAAGATCTATCTTAGCTGCTTCGGAACTCAGTTTTTGGCTGTCCAGAATGAAAGTTTTCTTATTCGTTAGATCAGCAGCGTAGAC